TTTAATCTCGGCTTCAAAAGCCTACTGTTGATCCATGTGTTTTAGCAAACTTTAGACCTACATCAAACCTCCCCTTTGTTTCTAAAATCTTTGAATAAGCTGTTGCAAATCAATTACGTTGAAGATTTTTACTCAGAATTTAGAGCACATCACAACGAAGCAACAGTGAGGAAAATCTTAAATTAGATTCCAGTTTGTTCATGTCAACCACTATGCATCCATGCACACAAAAGTTTGCAGTTTAGTTTTAAAGGTACTACAACTAATACTTTTCACACTGTATGTTCATCCCCTATAATTCCCACTGCTATACAGCTGACACCAAGCTATAGGTATGTCACTGAAGCCAGATTAAATACATTTCAAATTTCAAGCATGTCTTCAGGACATAAAGGCCTAAATGACTTTTCATTTTCAAATTCTTAACACAGACAAGTTATTGTGTTACTGTAGGGAACCTTGGAGTTCTAGGACAGCCTGCGTTCACCTGCACAATATTGTCAGAATTATGAACATCCTGTCCCAGAGTGATGCTGAAAAACCAGCACTGTTATATTATACTATCATAATTCCTTACTATCAGGATGTCTCAATAACTCCAAAAAACCTCCAGCTGATTCAAAATGCTGCAGGGAGAGTTCTGACAGGAACCAGTGAGAGAGATCATATTTCTCCCGTATTAGCTTCTCTTCATTAGCTCTCTGTAAAATCCTGAATAGAATTTCAAATCCTTCTCCTCACATACAAAGTCCTTAATGACCAAAGCTCCATCATATCTTAAAGACCTTATAGTACTTTATTATCCCATTAGAGCACTTTGCTCTCAGAGTGCAGGCTTACTTGTGGCTCCTAGTTTCCAAAAGCAGAATGGGAAGCAAAGCTTTTTAGCTATCATGCTCCTCTCCTGTGGAATCAGCTCGCAGTTTGGGTTCAGGAGGCAGACGTCCTCTCTGCTTTTAAGATTAGGCTTAGAACTTTCCTTTTTGATAGAGCTTATCTTTGGGACTGACTCAGTTATGCTGCTATAGTCCTGGGCTGCTGGGTTACCTCCCACGATGCCCCGTGCACCTCTCGTCTACTCTCCCCTCTTTCACTTTCCATGTATTTATATGCTACTGCTGCATGCTATTAACTTTGTGCTCTCTCTCTCCTGTAGCTCTCTCTGTACTTTCTTTACCTGTACCTTTCTGCAGGTGTCTCTTTCTCTGGAGTTGCATGTTTCTGATGCTGAGGCTAATCTGTGCTGATCTTACAGCCTCACCAACCTGCTTGGTGTTTGTTGGTTCTCAATGTCTATATTTTCTCTTTCGTCTCACCCCAACTGGTTGAGGCAGATGGTCACCCAAACTGACTCTGGTTCTGTTACAAGGGAGTTTTCCCTCCCCACTGCCACCAATTGCGGCTCAAGGGGAAATTGTCGGGTTTCTTTCGTTACTATTTTAAGGTTTTATGATGCAAAGTGCCCTGAGATGACTTATGTAATGATTTTTGCACAGCATAATTGGAATATTCCTGCTTTTGTGTTCAAATTGTGATTTTATTAACTTTTTTAGTCACAGTTTTATCTAAGTATGAATCTTGTTACAGCACTGCTCCTGTGTAAGTATGTCTGTAGGTGGACATGAAGCGATTGGAGGATAGTCTGCTGCCAACTGGGTCCTGCCATCAGCTTAGTTTATACAGTACATGACCTTGAGCCTTCAGTCTGGGTTGTCTGATAGCAGTGTTCTCTCACTTGTCTCTGACATTTTAACAGAGGTGTAACGATCTCCTTTGTCTGGCCGGCTTGTAACCCAGAAGAAAGAGGAGCTTATAAACTCCTCTCCTATCCTCTATCATCCACTCTCAGACTTTCTCATCATTTACCGCCTTTCTCTCTCACACACACACACACACTCTCACCAACACAGACATTTGTAAGTGAAGTGGGTCAGAGGGCGGAGGAGATGAATGGAGGTCTGAAAACAAGGATGGAGAGATGAATGGATGGCTGAATTAATGAATGAACGGGTGGATGGATGGATGAAAGAGAGAAGAAGATGTAAAGAGGTCAGAGAGGCACAGACTGGCTACACTCCAGCGCAGGCCGATGGCAACATCTCTTCTAGCCCTCTAAGTAGAACTTCACCCTAAACGAAGCACTTTACAGATGATGATGATGATGATGATGATGATGATGACAGAGAATTTCTGAGTATTGATGTTTGAGCCGTCGCAGAAAAAATTACAAAAGTAGCGGGAATTTCTAGTTTGGTATGGACCATATAGGAATGTAGATGGAGAAATGTCAGGTCTGTCGAAATGTCAAAGCTAGTTTTCCAACTACATGTGATCAGTGATGTGCCCTAAAGCTGAGTCGGCAGTATTTTTTTTTAGCATCACTCACTTAAAAGTACTGGAGTGCACTTTTGACACAGGTGAGCTTGTTATGGCTCAGTTCTAAGGTTATGTAACCCAGTCCTCATATGGTGGACAACTATGCCTGACCACATGATCTGCTGTTAGGTTAGATTTGATTGAATTGGCTCTCTTGCTCCCATGTTTAAGTGATAAATAGAAATTCTAGTGTTTAAATAATGTATGTGAATTTCCCACCCTTGGAGAAAAAAGTTTTGCTCCCATGTGCCCCAGCCCACATCAATGGTCAATGGACAATAATTTAATGATAACCTTTTAGCATATTGTCATCCAAGTGGTATGAGAATAAAATGTACTTCTGCACCTCCTCTTACCTCAGAAAACGGAGACTGTGATGGGAGGCTTGGCTAAGCACAGGTGGGAGTAGGACAGGATGGCACAATGGGTTTAACTGGAAGTAGGGTCTGAATATTATGTGAAGCCACAAGTGACTTCAAGCTTGACTATTTTGCTTTTTAAACATTTCTACCTACTGTAGCTTTAATCGTTAGATAAAAGAAGAGATAGGAAGAGCAGGTGTTTTATTAGGAATGTTCATTCAGCTTTTTGAAGCATAGACCTGTCATGAAATAAGGACAATGACACGGTGGAAAACTGGACAATTCCCAGAAACAATGCTCAAGACTCAGACACAGCAGTGACCAGAAACGATTTAGACATCTGACCTACAGCCTACTGCATGGACTGTGCTTCCACTTCCAACAGGTCCACTCTATATCACAAAAGAAAGCCTGTGTTTGCTATTTTTAAGTTGTGGGTCGTTAAAATTTTAATTGCAAACACAGTCGAGTTACCAATAACATCCCTACTGAGTTCCCGCGGAACAGTTAAGCAGTTATAGCAGGTAATACTGACAACACTTTATTTAGGAGAAACTGTGATGCCTGCTTTATGTCACACATCACACTGTCTTCCTGCATATAGCTGTAATGTCAGTCACGCTACAAGATGGAACGTAATTAACTGGAAATATGGTGACAAGATTTGTGGTGAGCATTACCTAAAAATATAGCAATGTGCTCCTTGATTAAATGTTTTTAATCCAAAATTGATCCAAAATCTCTATTTAAAGAGGCTCCATTTTCTAAAAATATCAGCAAAGGCAAAGACATGGCAGAGTTATTAAATATGGGGTTTGCTGGCCTTCACTGCAGCACTAATGGTGACAAAGCAAAGGGTGTTAGTGTAGGATGTCCTTGCAAGGCTACACGGCCTGTTTCATATGGCTGATAGAACATCAATAAAAAAAAAAGCCTTCTCATTCACAGCAGCCCATTCTCTCCTGAGATGGATAGACCTGAAACAACGCTGTGTGTCTGTGCGTCTCAGATGAGCGTGTGTGCAGCGAGACGTCCGATGAGCACTACCTACCTTGTGTGTTGCGGGGTGCGTGTTGGCATGTGTGCGGCTTGGTATGTGTGCAGGAATGTGTGTGTTGACGTGCGCTTATGTGCACGCGTGTGAATGTGTGTGCGTGTGTTGGTGCGTGTGTATGTGTGTGTGTGTCCATTTGTCTTGTTACCAGTTTAAGCTGCCAATGTAATCACCATGAGAAAGACTCTGGAAACGAACTCTCTAACCTTCACAACCCTGTCACCCCCCTGCCCTGGCAACTATTAGAAGCCACACACACACACACACACACACACACACACACTCTCTCATATGCTGTGCTTTTATCCCTTTCGTTCAACCAAAAAAAAAAAACAGACTAAAAATTATAATTTTCAATAATGCGAGGAACCTTTTTCTCACTGCAGTTTGCCAGCTGCTATGTAACAACCAACTTCCTAAAAGCATTTCTGTTTTCTGTGCAACTCCCTCTAATGCTGCCATCAGATGACATATCACAGTCATGGATGACCCCAGAGAAGCACACATTTCTAGCAGCGAATGCTCATAAAATCCTGCTACAGATAAATGTTGATACTGACAACACACTGAATAGAAGGTGAAGTTCTCAACAACTCATTTCATGTTGCTGTCAGGTTTATCTAAAGCAACAAAAAACACATCTTCCTCACACACCTTCTGGATGGAAATTTACACCAAATGGTAGATAGATGCTGCAATAAATTAGAATGCCATCAGTATTGCAAAATACAGAAACTTCTGGACAATAGTAGCAAAATAGATGAGCAGCAATCCAGCTGTTGAGTGAGATGTGAACAATGTATTGACCTGTGTGACATGGTCTCAAAAAACCAGCCTGAAATTCACACCTAACAAAATCTGACAACATTTTTAAGCATAAACTTGGTCCGGCATCCAAAACTGATATTTTTGACATCAGTACTCATTTCCTCTACTCTTTCACTTGTGCATACATTCAATGCAGTCTTAATGGCAAAAATGGCTCAAATGTTATGTTGTTTTGTCCTTAATAAAAACACACTTGATCAGATCTAAATAAAAAAATGATCAGGGTAACTCTGACTTCATACATAATTGACCTTTTTAGGAGTCAAATCCCAGAGGAGCATCATTTATTTAGTCATTAGGAACAAGCAGTGTGTCAGTGCCATGTTTATATAAATAATGGTTAGAGACAACATAACACACATAATACAACGCGTACAGACCTTTCTACAACGTCTTGGCCGCTCCAGCATGTGTGCTGTTCAACCTCCATCTCGCTCTCGCAAAGCATCTCTGGCAGCTCAGAGAAAAACCACTGGTACCGCTGGATAGAGCCCTCAAACTCCCTGAAAGAGAGAGCAGCTGAATGCTTGGTTTGTTTTTAATAAGAGTAGAAGCAATGTACCATATGCTTTTATTTGTTCCAATTTACACTTGTCATGTCCAATTCCCTGGGAAATCCCTTCCGAGAAACTCTGGTAAGTTACTGAAAGCAACACGAGGAAGGGAAACAAGCTCATAGCACTTTTTGATAATGACTGTATAATGAAAATCTGATACCAAGGTTCTGATTTAATGAGCTATGTGATCTCCAGTTTTCTTTTCTAAACTTACAGCCTTAGGAAATTGCTATATCTTTCAGCAGAAGTGACATTAGGTGATGACATAAAATGGAAATGATTAAAATGCAAATACAGCCACGGAGAAGCAGATCAAATTTGACTACCATGACAGGTAATGGTGGAACAGTCAAAGCTAGTTAAAGCAAAGCTCTAAAATTAGATTAACGGATCTAATGGATGTAATAGAGTAAACTGATATTGCTTGAAACATTACCATATCAAACAGGTGATTAGATGTCTGTCATTTTACTAATAATAATGCTTAATTCGAAATAAAAAAATTCACCTTGACAGTTTTTTCAGGCTTCGACTCTTGTCTCTTCTTGAACCTTTAAGAGGGAATGACCTACAGACAAACACACACATAAAAATATTTTCCTTTTTTTCTGCTACTGTTGAAGGTTTTTTCTTCCCTAACTTGCCTCAAATATTGTCAAGAATGATGATATGAATTTCCATTTCATCAGATGTACGTCCTGAACTCACCTCCTGGACTGCGGCTGTGAACGGCCGTGAGTGGGCGGACCGACGGAGGGAGCTGAAGTCACAGAGGACTTCTCTGTGGTTACTGATGTTGCATGCGTTGTAGCGTGCGAGGTGGTGGGTTGTGTACTTGCTGTCATGGAGCCAACCGCCTGGGGACCGCACACCTTCTCTACCTATGGAGGAGACAGTCTGAATTGTATTTTTTTAAATGATGATGATGTGGATGCTTTTCAGAGGAATGCAAAGGAATGTAAATGAAGTATCTAGAACTATGATGGATAGTTAATTTTTTATACAAGTCTTGGATCCTTTTTCTGTAGGTTCAGTCAAGTTGGAGAGGCTGAAGCTTCTTGTTTAATTTATCTGTGCATCAGCTTTTTTGCTTGATTGATAACTAGTTAACAATTGTTAACATGAGGAAGCAACAGTGTAGGGTTAATTCTAAGTCATCTGAAGGCAGGAAGGGATTATGATTAAGTTCAAAAACTTCTAAATATGCAGCTCTGATACACAGAAATGAGCTTCAAAGGGTTAAAATTGCACCTAGTGGTGTTAGGGTCTATGACAGCTGCCTCAGGTTGTTGGGAGGCAAGTCGGTGCCCTCTGCCTTTCATAGCTGGTAGTTTATTGGTTGTTATGACAGTAAATACACAAAAGAATAGCTTCACACCAATTACTTATCCTATTAGTGTGTTTGTTTTCCTCAGACACGCTGTTTCCCCCAACAAGCTAAAATCACTGCTGTCTTAAAATTCATGCCGCAAACACCTTTTCACTTTAAATGCAGCGCAGAGCTCATATACGCCACTGAAAGGTTAGAGGTCAGCCTTTCGTGATGTGCCTAATGAATAAGAAAGCTTAATCAAATATTTAATGAAGTGGTATTTTCTTATTAGGCCCACAATTAGCAGTGCAATTCTGCTTGTGTGTGTTTGTTTACCTCTCAGGAATCTACTCTACTAAGTCCACAGTGTTCTCTCAAAATTGGACGGCGACTCTATTTCTCCCTCCAACGGTGTGTGCATGCATGCATGTGTTTGTGTGTCGTCTGTTTGTCCACAGATTAGCCACAGAAACTTTCTCATCACTCAGAACCAAGCGGCATTCTGGGTATCGGTTGTCCCGCCAACCACAGTCTTTGTCTGGCACTGGATCTGTATTCACACTCACATACACACCCGTACACACACACACACACACACACACACACACTTACACACACACAAACACACACACACACACACAGACTGAGGGGAACCCCAGATTCTCTGAAGAATGAGGCTGTTTTTAGCCCATCTATGTACACGGCTTTTGTAAGGAGATCCAACTGCCAGGCTGAAAGAAACCCACGGCCTTCTTCACTCTGTGTCCAAAATTCAAATGACTTTATTATTGGGGATATGAGTAAGGAGGTGTTCTGCTGCTGGTCCTCATCTAGTTTTGAGCTCTTTAATGTTTGGACCTTACAGGGGCACCACTATATATTCAAACCGTTTTCAGTAGATTGGCATCAAGATCCAGAATTCAACATTTATTTTATGCACAATTTACGACACGCAAAATTTACATCATCCCCTCAATCCCATCATCCCCTGTGCTTACTGTGGCTGTGATGCGTGGCCCGTGCAGCTGAGCGTGCAGGATGGCATCATTCACATGGTTTCGGACCGCTAACAGAGCTAACTCCATGCTGTTGTGATTGCTGCTGGTTGCTAAAGTAGCAGCTAACCGTTGGAGCAGTACCACCAAACTTCCCCAGGGGGCACCCAGCTCAGATACACCTACCTAAAATAGAGACAGTGGAAAGAGAGAAATGAGAAAATACAAGAGGAATACAGAGTGGGGAGGAAGGAAGAAATCAACAGAGAAAGAGAACGAGGATAAGTTTGGAGGTTATATTGGAGATGTTTCTCCAAAGCTGGTAAATGGGCTTAGATTTACTGCAAATATCAAACTTCAAAATCTGCTGGTGACAAACTAATAAACTTGGCGTAAATAAAACAACAAATGGAAGGAAGGAAATGGCCCAAAGTTGTGGAAGATTAGCAGTTCCTATCTCATGACTGGATAGGCAAGACCGCATTTCCCATGAACCAGCCTGCTTCCTCTGCCTCTCTTTGGCTTTGCTGTGTGGATTTTTCTTTCCTCCTCTTTCCCCCTCTGCCCTGAGCAGGATAAACATGTTGGGAGTTGTTTTTCTATCACACTTTCTTAGCTTCCAAGAAGCTCTCAGGCGGCTTGAACAGTGCCATCTTCCAGTTTTGTGCTATAAAGAAGTCTCTCTATTGTGGGCGCCGCTAAAGCTGTCCAGCAAATTTCGAAGCAGACCAGCAAGATGCATGGAAGACTCTGCCAGTTCTCTTGGCAATGCTCTTGTTATTTGTCAGTCTAAAACTTAATGTGGGAATGATTTACTGGTGATAAAATGCTGTGAATGATTCAACAGTGTGAGACATGGGAATATCACTCTAAATTTGTCAGTGTCCTCCTTCAGACAGAGGAAGATAAATACTCTGAAGCCTCCCGTGCATCTAAAACACTGTCTTCAAGTCACACCCACACAACCTCAGAGGAATAACAATGGATGAGGTTTAGCATTTTGTAAATTTATATCTGACAGTAGATTGAAAATAATTAGGAAGAGTCAAAACATCACTGCAATAACATCTTAATTTTTTAAAAAAATTGGAAATAGCAGGAGCAAGTTCGAGCAAATGAACTGAAAGGAACAGTTCTGCATTTTGAGGACTGAACTCTCACGTCTGTGCATCAAGTACAGAGATGGAGCGAGATGATTTTTCTAGCTTAGCACAAACATTATTAAACTGTCTTTAACCACTTAGAAAGACACACATGCCACCACCTATAAGCTTGCTTATCACTGGGGCTGCAACAAACAATTATAGAAACAGCTAGGGCAAGCTTGATTTTAGAAGCATTAAACTGAAAAAAACAAAACAAAACAAAAAAAAAACATTCTCTTGACTGCTGACTTGAGTCCAGCTAGTGGACTAATTCACGAGACAGAGCACTGGTCAGTAGAGGCATCCTAAAAACACTATGTGTCACTCAATGAAACCAGTAACTGTGCCCCAAAGACCGTGTCACTTTCAAGGCCCTTTGATTTCTACATTTACTGCCAGCTGCCAGTATAGAAAAGTTAAGAGAAGACTTCTTGCTTTATTCCACTTCTCTGATCATAGTCTCGTTTACTATTGCCTTTCTTGTTCTGTAAAATGTGGCTACATTCTTGTGCTATCTGTTTGCTAATTCTGGCAACAAGTGCACAGACAGTGTGTGGACAGGTAGGCAAGCATATACTGTAGTTAGACAGGCAAATAAGCCATCCAGCCATCTCATGTGGCCCGAATGCAAAGTTAGGTTTTTTGTTTTTATTATCAAAGCAGGGAGGCACGGTAGTGAAGTGGCTGGCACTGTCGTCTTAAAGCTAGAAGGTCCTGGGTTAGGATAGGCTCAAGCCCTCTTTGACCCTACAGAGGATAAAGCAGTGTATAGATAATGGATGGGTGGATATTCAAAGCACTTGACTTACTGACTGCTGTTGGTATGTGAAGAGACTTTATACAATTCTAACAAAAAATGCTCCTGAATACATTGCATTCTCTAGCTTTAAATGATAGTGTAGAGAAGACACCCACACATACTCAGCTTCCTGTAAAGACAGAGTCCAGTTGTGTAATGTCTTAGTATCCGTGTCCATCCATCCATCCATTATCTATACACCACTTAATCCTCACTAGGGTCACGGGGGGCCCAGCCGACTCAGGGCGAAGGCAGGGGGCACCCTGGACAGGTCGCCAGTCTATCTATTACACAGACAGCCAAACATACAGCACACTATGGACAATTTAGAACCACCAATTAACCTCAGCATGTTTTAGGACTGTGGGAGGAAGCTGGAGAACCCAGAGAGAACCCACGCTACACCTGGAGAACATGCAAACTCCACACAGAAAGACCCCAAGCCAGGACACAAACCAGGGATCTCCTCACTGTGAGGCGAGGGTTCTAACAACTGAGCCACTGTGCAGTCCTAGCATCAGTGTAAACAGTGTAAAATTAATGCAAACATACATACATATGAAAACAGATGCACACACAGAAAGAGTAAACGCACAAACATTCAAAGACTTACCAGACATCCTCTCATAATGTTGACACACAGTCCAGTGCAGGGCCGTATCAGAGTGAGCCCTCGGCAGTGGGAACAGTACTGCATCCTCACTAACCCTCGCCCACACTCTCTGGATAATGTTGCCTTCTCGGTCGCATTCACGACCTCTCCAGCCAGTTGCAACAGTCGGCTGAGCGCTCGACCAGGCCCGAGCGCCCGGGACAGGCTGCTGACAAGGAGGCGGGGATGAAGTCCGAACGGGCTGACGTCCTGCCGCGTCATCCGCAGGCACTCGTCGTGACTCGCGGAAAGGGAGGAATAGGATTGGGTTGACAAGTGGCCAAACCCAGGGTTGAGCAGGCGGCGGTAGACCAGTGGGAAGAGATCATTGTAGAATCGCCGCACGGCGTTGTCGAGGGAGGAATTAGAGTCTCCAGACAGGTGACGTTTGATGTCGCTGAACAGGTGAAACACAAGGGGGCGACAGTCTGACGCCAGACTGGAGTACGCACTGTCAAACAAAGTGCTGGTCAGATTAGATGTAAAGGACACAAGCGACTCAAAGGTCTCTGGAAGAGAGAAGACAGATAGAGAGAGAGGGATTTTATCGTGTGTACATCATGTGCACTTGTGTCAAACATCCATGTACCTAGTCATACCTACAACTGGTGGGAATATATAAGCATTGGCATGGTTATTCACTGTTGGCAAAGCTATCAGTTTCTTTACTGTGAAGACCCTTCATCTTGCTGGCTGAGGAATCATAAAACATTCATGTAAGAGAGTTTGCTTGGCTCTTACAGAAAATCCATCTACAAAAAATAGATCCAAGTTGATCATTGTTAATTAGATCATTGTTAACTCAATTTGTTAAGCAATTAGTAATTCTTATCTAAACAATTCTAATCATATGGAAGAAAAAGCACAGTCACCACACATAAAATAACTGGCTTTGAAAATATTACATTCCTTTATATTTCAAACATTATAACTTGCAATTAAGTTTATTTTGTCTGTGTTCATTCGACATTTGTTCGTTGACACAAATGAAGAGATTGTATGATAGAGGGACTGGACTGAAGTCGAGGCTTGTTAAGGATTTATGCAAAGACATGCCGGAGGAGTTTGAGACACTTATCCACATTGAAGTCTGACTCAGATATGACGCAATGACACAGACTTTGCTGTTTTATAAGATCAGCTGACTAATTTGCTTAATCTTTTTGGGACCACAGTGGAAACACAGACAACAAAGGGCTGAAGGAACCTTTGGTTTCTTCTGAAGTTCCCAGACATTAGTCCCCAGGCACTGAATGTGGCTTTTGAGTAACTTTTAATTTACTTGATTGTTTCCACTTTCTGTTGCTACACACTGTATCACAGAGTGAAACATTATTCTTTATACTCCACTACCGACTACTTTTTGGATTCTGATTTTATGTCATATACTTAAAACATATGAAAAGTTGAAATACAAGGCGTTGTTAAAGATTAAAGGAATAGTTTCCAACTTCTTACCCTTTTAACCCTCAGACAGAAACCATGTTGTGGCTTCTTGTCATATTTCAGGGTTGTCAGCAGTTTCACCAAGGAGACATTTCTCCATGTTTCAAATGGTTTAATTCTTAATAGATGTTCGAACTATTTCATTATTTATTTATTTGCCCCATTAATGATCTCACAATGAAACAGCAACCTCAGATGCCGACAAATAAAACAAACTCTGCCAAAAACTGCAATTTCTCAAACGGCCACTTGAGGTCGACTCCAAAAAACGAGTCAGTGCCCAATAGACCCACATCTTAAAATGTCCAGTTTTATAGCAGAAATAAACATGTTTACCTTAGCTCCAGTCAACTCCACCTCTTTGCTAATTTTTTGATTATTTGGGAGTTAGGAGTAGTCAGGTACTGCCAAGCTGTTGACTGGCGAAGTCAACAAACTGAGTTTGAACCCTGTTCACCAAACCTGTGGGGTCATGGAGGGTTTAATAATCTTTAAATAGCTAAAGCTGGGAAACACTGGACTAACTACCAAACTGTATATACAGTTGTTAAAACTAATACCACTTTGGCCACTAAGAATGGGAACATGTTGCTTGTACATAAATACATCAGCATTACAGTCTAAAAATGTAATACACACTAACATATCATTCACAGGGGGCGAGTACTTTCACTTTTAAATGTTTTAAATGTGCAATGCGGAACTAATGTCTGCTCCATCTGGCAGTGAAATTAATTAGGAACTATTTTTTTTATATCTAGAGCATCAGAAACTCTTCTTGGCTGGTTTTTCCACCACAGGTTCTATAATACTACTAGTTGCTGAAGCCTTTTCTGTCTCAGTTGCTTCAGGAATCATTGCTGGTTGACGTTAAACGCATTGCTACTGATGCAACGCGGCAAGAATGTTGCCCAAGGCCCCAGATATGAACTGGGAAATACAGAAATACATAAACAAAGATTTACTCACAGGCCTAATCAGCATTGTGTGAACTTGTTTTGCAAGGGTCTATTCATTTATATGTAAGTCTTGCACTCCAGCTTTAAGTACACACTGCTGATAACAACTCTGCACTTCAACTGAATTAGGATTCTGAATACATGATTATAACTTGTATGTGTCTTTATATATTGTTGTATTGGTACTTTTAAAGAAGTAAAGGATCTGAGTGATTCTTCTACCACAGAGGTCTTAGTTTTTGATATAAAGTTGATGACCATATGCAACAACAAACAAATAATCAATAGTTGTGTTAACAGTGTAGTTACAATAGTCTGTCTATGAGACCTCCTCATGCTTAGTTATTATGTAATCTCACCCATGGCCTATACCAGGGAAGGACTGTTGCCATAAATTAGGCACACATGTAGTGTATGTGAATATACTATTCATGTACAAGGTATTATATAAAGTAACTTACACACAGTAAGTCTGTATAATGTTGTTTCACTTTTGAATTAGACAGTGACGTTTGTCCATTTATCATTCCCACATACAAGAAGTGGTATTTCCATATCTGAGCATATATCCTTCTTTCTTGTCACACAGTCTCTGTCTAACCGACCTTGGACTGACTTTTTCCTGCCGCATACGAGCCAAAATAGCTCAAACTTAATTCATCCCCGAGCTCGTTTTCACTACCCTGTTATCTATAGACAGGTGATAATGAGAGGCCCAATCTCATGATCCGCTGTGTTTCCTATGTCACACAGGGTCTAATAAAGAGGACAGCACCCTCCCCTTTACAGAGGCTCTGTGCTGTGTGACAGTGAGCGCCTCTATGTTTGAGACTCGCCAAGTAAAAAGGGTGATGTCAGTCTGAAGGCATCCTGACACACAGATACAGACAACTGGGAGAAAGAGAGAGTGAGAGAAACCCGTTTACCTACAGCTTTCACCAAGTCAGTCACTGTGCATGTTTCTGTGGGAGTGCACGTGAGGGTTTATGTCTTAACAGATTTGTATTTCACTGTCACAACCATCTGACTCTACAAGTGACAGTAAGTTGGTAAGGAATTTATGAAATAACTTACAAAAGTGCCCCTTAAGGCAAACATTACAGCAAGGATGGGTATGAGGGAGCATGCACGTTGCAGGATGAGGCAGCTGAGCAGCAGCTCTTTAGGCTGAAGCACTGAGTGGGAATGTCTCACTTTTATGTGTTTGCATACCCATGCCCTGGCAATAGCAACTCAAATACAGACAGCATCAAGTGACACGGCAAAGTCTACTCACATGGGGTCATGTGATTAGCTCTTTACCCTCTGTGATTGGACAACAGCTGCGACGTGGTAGAGAGGGCACAAGGGTCTTACAGTGCCAGGAGAAACGCACGCAAGCATGCAGACACGTATTTACACACACACACACAAGCGCACGCACACACACACTAAAGTAATCCACAGGGTGTAAGTAGAGCCCGACTAGAAGCGCTCTGGGCATGTTTCAGTTTCTCCAGTGGGTTATAATCACTGCGCTTAGAAGAGGGGATCCTGTGAGACCCGGCTCAGCTGTTGAAGAACACTGCTGTCCTGCAAAATTAGTTCAATTAATTGTCCCGTGTTTGTTGCTGTCACGCTCGATTTTATCATGTTTTGTAACTTCACAATGGTGTGTCTTGTTGGCCAAGTCTTCTTGGAAAAATACATTTTAATTTCAGGGGACTTTTCTGATTAAATCAATTCATTAATTAATTTATTAAAGTAATCCAAATCACACAAAAGCATGTTTTTTTCATTTGTCCATAAGAATGTTTCGGTTTAAGTTGTCCAGGGTTTATAAATATAGAACCACTGTCAAACTAAAGAAGCAGCTCCTCTGAAAACTGTTGACAGCAAAGTATCCTGAGCATCCAGGACACTGTTTGTCAATTTTATCTTTAACTACAGTAAAAACAAGTGGCTGCAAAAACACCCCATGAGTGCAAAACCATTATGCCTGACCAAATGAAGGCTTTAACACTATGTATCGCCTTGCATTGCCAAAAATTGCTTACGCTTCTGCAGTTTCTCAGTGTTTTGAAAAGTGAAATAAAAATCCTATTTACCATCACTGTATTGAGATGGCTGCAGTGTTTTCAGAGAATAATATCTATCACAAGCCCATTATATTATTTGCATTGCTCGATAACCCTTGGGGATAATGAAAAAATATCCTTTTTTGCAGTTTGGGTGAATCAATTTTTTAATCATAGTGTTTGCAAAATTTCAAGTTAATGCAGTAAATTCTAAACATGGCCCCGTGCTGCAGTTTTGGGCTTGTTCAGCCCTTCTTTGTGAACGGGTGTTTAGCATTAATTTTACCCATGGATGGTTTAGCTATCCATTGGGCATAAATAGCAGCTGAAACCGAGCCTGAGTGTATTCAGATGAAGCGAGTGGAGGGGGGCAGTGAGAGACAGAGAGACTGAAAAAAGAAAACAGAGAGGTACATGTTTGCCATGTCTGTCTGCTGGGTTTCATCAACTCTACAATTCTCATAATCTCCACCCTGCATGAGCAGCACACATGCACACTTCCATGCACGTAAACACATACAACCACAGGGTCTCTCTCACACACACATGCGCACACAGACTGGTGAATAGCGTTGAGAGACAAGTGGACAAGCAGAGTATTCTTCCTTCTATTCAGAGCAGCCCGTTAGAGACCGGCTGTTGCCCACGGCAACAACACTTTGCTGCGGATACGTACTGAATGTAAACATTCTTCGTCCCTCGCTCTCTCATTGGTCAAGAACAAAACCTGATTATCGCAGCGACAGAGACAGACAGACAGAGAAAGAGAGCGGAGAGTTGTAACAAAGTTTTCCGCTGCTCCCTCTGAGAGTTTGCTCTCTCAAAGACTCAATCGAACATCAGTTGTTTGTTTGGCTAGCCACTGTGGCGCCTCACAAAATAAACTGGCCTCACACCACCACCCTGACACAAACTAGCTATTTCATGATGAACACACAAAGTGAGAATGACAGAAGGGCTACAGGCTCTTGACAAAACTGTTAAAACATCAAAATCACTACTGCTATTAAAGTCACTCTGACTCTGACTGACATTTTTAGTTCCTGTCAGTAATGAATTTAAGAGAAAAGGCATTAACACAGTACAGCCAAACAGAAACAAGGAACTAATGTTTATCTTCTTTACCAATGGATCTTGTAGTAGATTTTAATACTTTTCAGAATTTTTGTTTTAGCCTTCAGAAAGACAAAAAAATAAATGTTAAAATATTTTTATTTTTATTTTTTTTAAACCATTGCAATTTGTTGGAGCCAACAGTGGTGTCTATATATTGAAATCCAAAAACCCATAGAAATATTAAATTACAATTAAACAAAAAAGAGAAGGGGATATAAAGTTATTTTGATTTGCTGAGTATTTGGAATGATTTTAGTTGTCCAGCATGTTTTTCTCTTGTATTAGAGAGGCAATAGCAGAAGTGCTTTATATTTTAAAAAGTCAGTATTTAAAATGTTTGGGTCACGTGTTCTTTGGTGTCAATGAAAAAATGCATCAAGCAGACTCCTGCACAGCGTTACTGAGAAAAGCCAATCCCATTCCCCCGTAATACAGAAAGCCATGAATCCCAACAGCACTCTTTAAAACAGGCATCTCCAAAATCATACAGGGTCCACATGTAGATGAACCTGCACAGATACATGTATATCGTTGAATAAATAGAATCTTTCATATTAAATACAACAAGGTCTCATAAAAATTCAGGCTGCTCCAATACATATTTATATTGAAGATAATTGTAAAAATTAATGTCTGAACTGTCAGAACTGTATACAATGAATTAAGTGAGTGTCTATAAATAGATCCAAGGACCCAAGAGGCATTAGAGTGAAGAAAACACACATATTAAGTAGGTAACATTCAACATAATATATAGTACAGATTAACATCAGTAATAAATTACCTGAACAATAAATCTACTGAAGACCTTTCCCCAGTAAAATATATGAATACAGTCAGCATAGGGGCTCACTTAAATTAATGTAGACAGTCCTGACAGGGTAAAGATTCATTGTGATGACACCTTGTTGTATGTATTATGAACTATTATTTTTTATAATTGTCACCATGTAATCTTTTCTAACTTTCTATATGTTATTAAGAGCTGTGATTCATTAGAATGAGGTTTGGGGAATAATGCCTTTCTACAGTAAGTGGGGAATGTGATTGTTTGCAGAGCTACAGACGCTCCCTATTTTTGAAGGTTTCTCGTTACAACAAACCATGTGGCTGATGAAGGTCTGGCACTAAAACATTGCAAAGAAATGTATTTTTGCAAATTAGACTGTGTGCTTGAGTCTTAAGCTTTTGTATATACTCATCGGTCTCCTTCTGACCTGTCTGTTGAAATAGAAGTTTCTTTGTCTTGTGTCAAGGGAAAAAATCAGTAGAGAAAAACAGAGAGAGAGAAAAATTCTTAAACCATTGTACTATGGTGCACTATGCTCTAAAGAAAGTACCAACCGCTGTGTGGGCGTCTTTTAAATAATCCAGCAAGAACATCTTAATATAATAAAGACGTTTTAATCTAAAGAGTGACGTCATTTTTTTTCTATGCCTCGCTCTTCACTGATGCGTAAAAAAGAAACAATGCAAGCATTGTATTGTTGCATCTACATCCCTTTGTTGCTCTGTAACTCTGTCTTCCCGTCTTACCATGGTAAGCCTTGGTGTGTCCACCAATCAGGTACTTGAGTTCAAAGCTGTAAGATCGCATCTTCTGCTGTGTCTCACTGCGAACAGCCGCCATGTAGCTGTCCTCCATCTTACTGGTACAGCAGCTGGGCCCGGGGTGAACACACACTCGGAGAGAATCGTCTGAAAGACAGAGAAAATGACTGATTCTTATTGTTGATATAAACACTGACAAGTCTTATAAATGTCAAATATCATACGTATTTTGTTGGATAAAGAATGGTTCTCCACTTTTGGCTCAGCAATAGGTTATACCAGCTACTACTGTTACTACTGACTAAGTCCTAAAAGTTGTTGTAAACTTGAAAAAATATCTTTTCCTCACATTTTATCACCACCTAGCTGATAACACTCACTGGTATTTAATTATACAATGTAGATCTGTAATCTAAAAGCATGTGATGCAGAGGCCTTTATGACCGCACAAAATTAATTGTACAACAATGAGCCTGTTGGGAGCTGTGTGTGTGTGTGTGTGTGTGTGTGTGGTGTGGAGCAGTCTGACTTTGGTTGACTACTGTAAGCCAAGCTGTCAAGCAGCTGACTGAGATCAAGGGGGAGAAAGAGATGAGAGGAATGACCAGTAAAGTTATGCGAACACACACACAGTCACACACACACACACACACATCCGACCTGTGTCAAACATTGGGCTATTCATATTAGCACTAGCTAACAATGGAGTACATTGCTGAGACAGTTACTATTTATTGGTAATGGCATACTGCATTCCACACTTGCATTTGAGACGGCAGGTTTGTGTGAAGCAGTGGAGCCAGAGTTCATCTCGAATCTCATTTTTTTGCAATAAGGTTTAGGTCTGCAAACACCAGCTTCAAAACTAACTGACTCAGTAGGATGTAAAACTGTGTGACCTTTGTTCTTGTGTCAAAAGTATGCATCAGTAAAAAAAGTAAAAAAAAATCTCAGTATAAGATCTGCTTGCAGGAACATTTTCAAGAGCTTTCAGCTCCATCACGCGGCTTTCATCAGCAGATGGAGTTTGAGCGGTCATGGACATGGCTCCATTGTCATCACATAATGTAACTGTGGAATTTGTTCACATGGTAACAGGTGGTCATCCATCCTTTGGAAAGGTCCTTGTAAGTGGTCCTCATGCCACGATTTGTTTGATAAAACCTTTTTTAATTTACTGAAAAATTAAGCAGAATTATTTTATTTTATTTTATTATTTTATTTTGGTATCTGTTTTCTGCTTCTTTGCACCAATGGACCAAGTCAAATTCCTGGTGATGTAAAAATTACCTGGCAATAAAACTGATTCTGATTCTGATTCTGATTCTGAATTACTGTCAGTGGCCATTTGAGGACACGTGTGACACTATTCCAAAAGAACCACCTTGTTTCTTAAGATTGAATTTACACAAGGTAAGACCAGTGATGGCCTGGATGGTAATGCCTTCATCCAATTAATTGTGGGAGATGTGCGGACATCTTAATCAAGGAAAGAAGGTTTCTAAAATTGCACATTCCTCAAACCAATTCATTCATGGCTGCATAAGGCCAGAACAAGAGACTCTGTTGTGAAGATATGTTGTGCAAAGATGTGCATGGATTCTATTGTGGTAATTATCTATAATTAGCAGACATCACTGCCAAAAAATGTTGCAATCAAAAGGCACAAAGCTCATCAGTGATGCAAAACCAGTAACATAGCTGAGATATTATGGTGCTTTCTTTTTTTATTACTTGAAACTACTGCAAAGTCAGCATGTTAGAGTAATATATTTTCCATTATGTACTGATGTAACAGAGCTTATTAACATATCTGAATCTTGTGCATCTTTATATATTTTAATTAATACAAGGAGCACTGTAAAGTTATGCCAAGGTTGAAAAAAAAAGCTTGAGTCAAGAAGATCTCGATCAGCCACTTCACTACCTCACAAAGAGCACATTTCTTTTTGGGTGCAGTTTTGATCTGAAGAATGACCTGCCATTAATATGAAGATGTACACTTCCAGCTCAGCCATATAGTGAAAAGAGACTCGCATAAGCCAGACAAAATCTCAAATGGGCATTTAGATTTAGCAAACACAATAACTAACGCTGCCATGCATAGCCAAATATGCTTTCAGGAGCTCTATATGGGTCTTCCAGACTATTTTGGTTAATTGTTTAGCAGAAATAGCCTCTCCCCAGTAAGGGTTCACCCGTTCTACAGCACAGAGATGATCCTCTCTATGGAATTGAGTCCTACATTTACAAACCTACTGATCTAAAACCTGTGTGTGCTGGAAGTACACACGACAATTCTCCAAACAAGACAGACACTGAGCAGAAGTTAAAATAACGCCTCTGTTGATTATTTGCACAGTTACACATGCATTCATGAACCTTACAGGCATAAAAATCGATAGGTGCAATAGATAAAATGCGCTTAACAACTTAAAAAGGAAAGATTGTCATTGTGCAGCAGAATGGCTCCATCATCAAGACATACTACTTAATTATTACAAATGCATAAATAGTCAGTAAATTAATATACAGCTCTGTAGTTTCATTTTTAATATTGAAACTCATAATGTGTTTTGTGCTTATCTGCACGGTAGTTAACTGTCAGATAAACAGTGGAGCAAAAAAAAAAACACAATATCTGTCTTTAAAATATGATAAAGTATGAATTAGCACACAATGAAAAATCTCAAGTAAAGTTTGAATAAATCTAAAGTACACTCGAGATCAGTGCTTTCTTAGTTGCTTTCCATCTCTATGTATCCCATGTTACATTTGAAGGTAATTTCCCACAATAAAGTACAACATTTAACAAACATTTCCAGAGAGACCGACTGACCTGTCCCCGGTCTGTCTGGCACCAGCTCCACCGGGCCTATTTGGCGCATCATGTAAGCTGTCTTCACCTCATGACAGCTGTCTGCATCGGCTGATCTACAGCCAGTCTCCGGCACAAACACGAAATACAGCAAAATTACCCAAAACAAATCCACGTTTTGTAAGGCTGCGCGGAACATCGCAACATGTCAGTGGGCAGATAAGAAGAGTCTGGACGTGTTAATGCGAATTCCTCATCAAAGTCCCACCGAGCAGTGTGACTGAAAACTTCATCTGCAGCCACCAAGTCTGAGTGGAGCCCTCCGAGGCTCAGAGCCCTCCTCTCTGCCCCAGTCTCTCCCTCTCTCTCTCACTCTCTCCCACTTTAATTGACATGTGCACTATAAAATAAAATTAAAAAATACTCTCCAAATACCACTTCCTTTGATCACGCAGTTGCCATTAAAGCAGTTGTGGCTAAATCCGCTATTAACTTGACAACAAAGTATGGAAATAAGTAAGTCAACGATCACAGAGAAAAAAGGCAATTTACATGCAGTTCACCACGTTGCAGGGTTATAAGCCATATGCGTGTTTTCTACTGACGTTATATTCCACATAAACAGCGCACAACAGATGTTTCTGCAAATAAGATGATCCAATAAACTTGACCGATGGCTGGTTTAAAAGTGGAACAAGGGCGCCACCTGCTGATCACTTCGCCTCATAACAATGACAGTTTTTCTGTGCAATAGCTGCTTTGATTATTAAATATACACACCTGTCTGTAATTATATAGACATAGATGTGATGTGTTACGTGCTGTCAGCTAAATACGTGTATTACACAGGAGGAGTGATGCTAACTTGAACCTATCATACTCTTCTGGATGTAGCTTCAAAACCATTGTAAGTGCCCCCCAATGTACACGAGTATTGAGCAAGTGATTTAACCCGCAATATTTTAATTCTTAGTTTTTTAGAATTCCTGCAGAATTAAGCTACTGAAGAATGGAAACTACTTTCTCGGGTTTTAAAACAAGATGGCGACTCCATAAGACAAACAGCCCAATTTGGGAAACGATTTTTAAAAAATCTGTAATCATTCAGCGGTCGAATATTGTTCATATAGTTCAGAAGTGCGGTGTTTTCTGAGGCTGTAAATAAGTCAGAACACCCGTAACTTGGTTTAAACGACCCTTGGGTGTTTTACAAACCTTGTTGTTTATTTAATTGAAAGACTTACAGTTAGCTCCCTGAGCCAAGTGTATGCTAATATGTGTTGAGCAGAAGCTAGTTTGCTATCGCTTAACAATTAGCAGCAACCAGTGCTAATGGTAACCTATTTTTTGAGAGTTTTGACCAAAAACAAAAAACAAAAAATAGCATTATGTGGCCTAGTTAATGTAATGCTAGGTGTTTCCAACTTACCTTGACCGCTTAGTTGTGCAACTAGTTAACATTGCTGCGTGCAAGGTAACAGCCAAAACTTGCTGTAATCTTTGTTGGAACTTGCAGAACACATAAATGGTAACTTTAAAATGTAGTTTAGGTTACTATTTTACTACATGTAATGTGTTTAATAGCAGGTACGACATTTTGCTTTCACTTTTTCTATAACTAGCCGCTTAATTAAGACAAAGTACCTTTCGAGGATGAAAAACGTGTGTTCCGTGTGAGGCTCGAACTCACGACCTTCACATTATGAGACTGACGCACTGCCAAACGGGCGCCCACGAGGCTGCAAAGCTCGCAAAAGGGAGTCACACAAAACAACGCAACCTATTGTTATTTTACACTGTATTTATGTTCAGAAAAGATATGTGGTTCAAGATGGCAAGGCGTGGTCAAAGATAAACAGATGGTGTGGACACTTTTGCCTCATCACTCCGTGTTTTAGAGATGCAGAGAGAGAGAGACGGGTTTCACCCCATCCTGGTTCTGTTTTCAGTACGGTCCTCAGCTTTCATCTCGACTGGACCTCATAGAAACTTCCGCCTGCTGTTTTATTTTTCCAGCAAAAATGGTGTATGGTGTATTCAGACCAGTGGTGGCATACACTTCTGGTCTTAGCAAGATAATATCTCAAACTTCTCATCTTCGCGGTAAAACAGCGTGAAGGAGTTGTTGTGTTCAAGCTCTGTGGGTAATTTCAAGCAGAAAGGTGTGTTTTTAAGGTATAATTGCATTTGAAGTGCAGTAAGTGATGCATTAATCAAAGAGGCAATTCAACAAAATATCATTTATTATTTAGGGCATTTGTGTACCTATATAGCACATGATATGTTGATTTCTGACACCGTGCTGTTGTGCTGCCAATGTTGCTCTGTTTGTATTTTTGTCCCACGACCCTGAAACGCACCGTGATACTTGCTGCGGCCCCTTTAACTCCAATCTCCCGCGTTCCAAGTTAGGCGGAAACAGCGAGCCTTCTTTTCTCTATTTAAGCGCGCCAACAAAGACTGTCCCAGGAGGTCTAGCTGTACTTCATTCACTGCACAGCTGCCCGTCGGTTTTCCCCTCTCGTCGCCGTCTGTACTGTCCTTCTGAAACAATGCCGGAGGAAACGTCCACCGCGTCGAGCTCTGGGAGGTAAGAACCGCTTGTAATTTCTCACTGTGGTCACATTAACGTAGCAGGGGAAACACGGCTAGCTAGCCTTTAGCTACATGACGCGGCTAACGCTTTCGACCTTGCATGTTGAGAGTGGGTGGCAAGATATTATTTTATTAAGCACACGTAGAGCTAATGACACTCAGTTTAAAGTAACCGAATGGCTGGTGGTGCCCGGTGCTGTCTGCAAACGCTACTATCATCCACTGTCACCCCCCACTGGTAAGCTAGTTGGCTAATGATGCTAACAACAATAAGGCGTAGCTGACGTCTTCGGACATTAAACTCGGTGAATGAGCTGTAAAAGTGTGTCTGCTGTGGTTGTACTTCGGAATTAGGTCACGCTGCTTAAACTTGCTTTGACTGAACTCTAGTATGAACTCTTGCAGTGCGGAGGAGAAGCCGTGCTCATCATCGTCGGCAGCTGCTGCGGACAGGTGAGGGTCCACAGCAAACTCTTCTGCAGCGGCTCACTAATTCAGCATCGACCCAGCATAACTCGCATGTGTGTGTTTTTTTTTTTTCTCTCCCTTGCAGCTCGGTTGACGTCATGGAGGAGGCAAAGAAACTGATTGGCACAGGGAACAGGCATCTAGTGATGGGAGATGTTGTTTCTGCTGTCAGTGTCTTCCAGGACGCCTGCGGCATGCTGTGAGTCCCCGCGCTGTTGGTCATCCAACATGGAAAACCACATTCATATATTAATATACAGGATGATGTATAAGAAACACGTCACTGACTAATTTTATGTCTTTTCTGTGACTCAATTCGTATGCATATGTCAGAAATTAAAAGTGAAAGTTGATGTACACTATATTTTGTCTGAAATCGGTGTGAATTTCACTTAAGCTTAGGCTTAGGAAACACTTTTTTTTCATTTGCATAGTGTTAACCATGAAAACATTTATGTTGTGGCAGGGCTGCAAGGTATGGTGACACTGCAGATGAGTGTGGTGAGGCCTTCTTCCTGTGTGGGAAGTCCCTACTGGAGCTTGCCAGGTTTGTAAGAGGTTTTTTTTCTTGTCCTGCATAGAAGAATTGTAGGCACCCTGTCCCAAAGAAGTTTTATTCAGTGGCAAAATGATAAGAATAAAGCATTTAAAATGTAAATATAGTCACCACTTTTTTGCTAACTAGTTTTGTTTACTCATGCATAGTTGGTGGTTTTGTTTATTCACTGGTCAGAGATAAGGAAATGCCTATTTCTGTCGATTAGGTGCTGCAGACTCGTTTCCTTTATTGTGACTGATCATGCTAACTGTTGTGTGTAATCACCCCTCAAAGGCCTGTTCTGAGCCAGGAAAAAGCAGTTGCCAATTTTAATACACGGTACTCCTGTAAGATTGATGTAGAGTTGTTTTAATATTACATCGCTTATGTATAATTTAGCTATTGTCTGGTATTTTGTGCAGGGCAAGTGCTCACAGTTAATTTTCATTCAGTGAGTGACAATGTTTGGACATGGCTCCATTTTCCTTCCCTTGTAAGTAGTAACTCTTATTTTTGATAATGTGATGGCTTTTTGTCTTTTGTTAGGATGGAGAACAGTGTCCTTGGCAATGCCCTGGAGGGAGTCCCAGAAGAATCGGAAGAAGAGGAGCAGCCCAGCAACTCAAACATTGAGAGTGCCAACAACCTTGATGGTTTGTACATTTAAGTATTTCAAGTTTTCCAAGGGTTGCTGATAAGGCAACGGGATCACATTTTCAGTCGATAAGGGAAATCTAAACTTGTGTAATGATCCTGTCTTGGATTTTCGAGGGAAATGATTCCTTACAGGGGAGGGGGAAGTGTGGATTTCCTTATTCGGATTTTTTGTTAACTCAGTTTTAATATTTAAAACTCAAAATCCCAAGTTTGTCAAAAGTCATAATTTATAAAGACCTTGTGCACACAAGGTCAAAGGTTAAGCAACTGCCTTTTAGATCATGGCTCAGGTCTATGAATTGACAATACAGTCACTTGTGGCAATACGACATTGGAATACAAATGTCTTCTGACAAAACGAACATGCGTTAAACCATCAAGTTAATGTCTTTATGCAAAATGACCTTGGTATTTTAACTGTCTATTAAGAGATCACTTCTCATGTGCCGCTTTGGTGCAGAAAAAACTAGAGATGAGCTACGAAAGCAGGTGTATGATGCAATGGCAGAGGGGGAAACGACGAAGGATGCAACGAGCAACACTGAGGTGAAAAAGGAAAATGGAGATGTGGAGTCTGCAGTCAAGGGGGACAGTGGGAATGAGTCAGAGGAAGCTTCAGGTTCTCCTGAGAATGGAGAAGAGAATTCATTCCAGGAAGCTGAAGTGAATGGAGCTGAGAAGAACCCAGGTGCCTCTGTGAATGACGAGGTGGAAAGATCTCCAGTAAAAGAAACAGAAAAGAACACTGATGGTTCAGAAGAGCAGAGTGGCAACGTTACTGAGCCAGAGGATGGAGAAAAGGAAGAATCAGACCCAGAGGCTCAACAGGACAACAAGGAACCAGAGGGTAGTAGGTCTCTGCATACAGAGCACCAGTGGTGTGGATGGGCTGGACACAGACTTGGAATGTATTGAACAGTTCACATTAACAGGTGTCACAAAAGGTGAAGGGAATAAATAATGGAGCAAGTGTACTGTGCCATTTGTAAGGAGCACATTTGACTTCAGTTTCTACTTGCATCACAATATACAGAAGAGAATATCAGACCTTAAGTTTTTCTTTTGCTTCAGCAGATGATGACGATGACGATGATGATGACGACGATGATGATGATGACGGTGGAGAGAGAAATGGACAAGATAAGGTGAGTTCTCATATTTGACAGTTTGTGACATTTTTTTGTAAACTTCCAGGATTTTGACACAGCTACCCTGCCTTTCAGGAAGAAGATGAAGTTGGGAATTTACAGCTGGCATGGGAGATGCTAGAGGTAGCCAAAGTAATCTATAAAAGGTACAGGCAACACTCAAGTATGAAGATGAAGGAAAAATAATGCATTAAAGATCAGTTCATCATTTTGATTTCATCTCATCTGTGCAGAAAGGAAAGCAAAGACGACCAGCTGATGGCAGCCCAGGCATATCTGAAACTAGGAGAAGTCAGTGCTGAGTCAGGTAAGTTGTTCCCATGCAGGAGGCTGAAGTTCCAGGGTGGTCCTCTGTCTCAGTTTCTTCACTGTCCAAATCTGACTGCCTTGTATTATTTTCATCAGGCAACTATCCCCAGGCGCTAGAAGACTTCCAGGAGTGTCTCACCCTGCAGCTAAAGCACTTGCCTCCCCATAGTCGTCTGCTTGCTGAGACCCACTACCACGTTGCTACAACACTTTGCTACATGGATCAGTACAGTCAAGCCATCCAGCACTACAACAGCTCCATAAAAGTCATTGAGACCCGTCTGGGTAAGAACTTTCGCAACTTTGACTTTGTCGTGCACATATCTATGAATGCTGAATCATTTGTAATTGAGAATTAAGTGAGTGGTTGGAAGAGTGTGGCAGCACCGACTCAGAAGTTGTACACAGAAACATAATGGGAACCAGCAGGGGCTGTTATGCTTGTTACCCTTCCATATTATGCATTTCTTATCTTAGTCTGGTTGTTGTCTGTGTGTAGCCATGTTGCAGGAGGTGATTGACGCAGCAGAAGGAGCAGATGGTGCAGCAGAGGAGAAAAATGAGATGGAAGAGCTGAAGCTGCTTCTGCCTGATATCAGGGAAAAAGTGGAAGATGCCAAGGAAAGCCAGAGAACAGGCAGCGCTGCCTCACAGGCCATCCAGCAGACACTAGTGGGTTCATGGGACAACAATGTTTAGGGTTTAAACTGTTCGTCTGTGAGCATGTATGTTGCTTTGAAGCTACTCGTCTAGAAGTCTAACCAGAGAGAGTCGTAGAAATGTACAAGAAGTAGCAAACTGATGCAACCCTGACTCCTGTGTTGTTGGCTTACCTCTTGCAGGGCGGTGCCTCAACTTCATCAGCATTCCCTTGTGAGAACGGTGGACCCTCATCATCAACAGCAGCATTTGCAACAACCAGCCAGGTAATGGCACTGCCTGAGGGCATGTAGTTAATATGAAGGGAATCCCACCAACAAAGAACCTGCAGCAACCAAACTGTTGTGTTTCAGATTCCAGTTAAATCATCTGACGGCGCCTTGTCTTCCAAGGCAGTCTCTGACATCTCCCACCTTGTCAGGAAAAAGGTGAGGCCCGCTAATTAAAGTGTGAATGTCCCTTTCTTTCTGTTTTGCAGTTTTTTTTGTTTGTTTTTTATTTGTTTACAGTTTACTTCATACTTCCAGTTTTTCTTTGTGACACTGGGCAGAAGCCAAGCATTTAATTACTGAAGGAAAAACCTTCAGAGTTGATTCCATACAGGAACTTTAATTGCCTGTACATTGAAGATGGCCTTGTACGGCTTGCTTCGTGTTGAAAGGTCTGTGTGATTGTAGGATCATTATGGCTTTCCTGCAAATGTCAGTCTCTAGCTTGTGTGTTGTGACTTTTGAGTGACCTGTGCTGTTGAACTGGAGTTGTTGCATGTGTGTAGGTGCTGGCATTGTGGCGAGGGCTGAATGCTAGAAATGAAGCTTTGATATGGGCTAATTTGTGTGCATGATTCATTATACTGTGTGATTCTGGACATAATTGGTCACAGCTTGTGATGTCAAAGTTTGGTTTGAGTCGCTTCCGTCTTAATATAAACCCAAAAGGTCGCTTGCATTGAATACCGTTGTGTACAACAGGCTTCAGTCTTCTCTTCCTCCCCCCTTTTTTTTTTTTTTTGTCCTGGTTTTTTGTTTCTACACAGAGGAAACCAGAGGAGGAGAGCCCAGTAAAGGACACTGATGCTAAACAAGCGAAACAGGAAGCCACAGTTAATGGCAGCGGTGACTCCAGTGCCAGCAACGGCAATGGAGTCCAGGAGGGAAAATCACAGGAGGCGAGTGATAGGCTCATGTCTTACTTACTGACATATTCACAGGACTCTCTGAAATGTTTGTGCTGTGATGCTGCTTATGTCGGTAGACAGGATAAGTACAGAGTCAAATGCATGTGGATCTCCAGCCAAGTCTACCTTTTTATTTCTTTCTTTCAGCCTTTCGTAGTTATCCATGACATAACGCAAGTACATCTGAAGGAAATAATCTGAATGCTCATAAATCAGAATTCCTAAATGATAATTTGAGATGAATTGGGTACTTGCTGACATGTTGAAACTGGAATCATGAGAAAAACATCTGGGGACTTGTGCCTCACTTAAGCTTTGTTCAAAAATGGTGACCAGACTCTCTTGGCTTTGGAATAATGGAGTTGTTGTCAGAATTTATCCAGTTGCTGGACATTGAAGGTAAGGTCCTTACATAGTCAGACTTGACCAAACAACTTCTATCTTGTGTTTGCATTATAGATATGATTCCTTTTGTGTTCTCATGTTTACAGAAGGAAACATGGCAAGTATATTCTTGAAACTGCCAACAGGTAGTGGTTTCATTGGGTGGACAAAATAGCTTTAGAAAAACTTGCTAGCAGGGAAAAAATTCCTGCTGCTATAGACTCGCCTGTGTGCAACCTGTGTATATTGAGTTTTCCCTGATGTAACCTAACTTTTGTTTTTATTTTGTTTCCTTTAGCCTGCCAGTCAGTCAGCCTCAGTCCAGTCCTCGGCGTGACGTTCTTCGTCTCCTTCCTGATCTTTAAAACCAGCACAGCATGCCTGTCCAGCCCCTCTCCACGTTTCAACACTTGTTTCTGTAAATAAGATCCATTTTCATAGATTTGTCTGTCAAGTTTTGTATACTTGTAGTAAAAAAATAAAGAATTTGCAGATGTAATTTTGTATTGTTTTCTTTCGTCTTTCTTGGTGGATTCACACAGTTCTGAGTAGAGCAATGTACAAAATGGTGATGGAAGTCTGTAAATACACTGCTCAAAAATAATAAAGGGAACACATAAACAACACAAGTCAGTCACACTTCTGCAAAATCAAGCTGTCCAGTTAGGAAGCAACACTGATTGTGAATCAATTTCACCTGCTGTTGTGCAAATGGAACAGACAACAGGTGGAGATGAGAGGCAATTAGCAAGAAAACCTCTATAAAGGGGTGGTTCTGTAAGTGGTGACCACACTATGTCTCTGTTCTCGTCCTTTCTGGCTGATGTTTTGGTCACTTTTTGCATTTTGTCAGTGCTCTCAGCCCTAGAAGGTATGGTAGGCGGTGTCTACAACCCACAGAAGTTGCTCAGGTAGTGCATCAATGTGAGCTGTGGCAAGGTTTGCTGTGTCCCTCAGCACAGTGTCCAGAGCATGGTGGAGATATCGGGAGATGTGGAGGGGGCTGTAGGAGGCCAACAACCCAGCAGCAGAACCACTACCTCCTCCTTTGTGCAGGAGAAACAGGAGGAGCACGACCAGAGCTCTGCAGAATGACCTCCAGCAGGCCACTAATATGCTCAAACTGTCAGAAACAGACTCCATAAGAGTGGTACAAGGGCCTGACGTTCACAAGTGGGGCTTGTGCTTACAGCCCAACACCGTGTAGGGCAGGGGTGTCGAACTCTGGTCCTCGAGGGCCGCAATCCTGCATGTTTTAGATGTTTCCCTCTTCCAACACACCTGATTCAAATGATCAGCTCATCATCAAGCTCTGCAGAAGCCTGATAACGATCCTGATCATTTGAATCAGGTGTGTTGGAAGAGGGAAACATCTAAAACATGCAGGATTGCGGCCCTCGAGGACCAGGAATCGACACCCCTGGTGTAGGGCGATTGGCATTTGCCAAAGAACACCAAGATTGGCAGATTTGCCATTGGCGCCCTGAGCTCTTCACAGATGAGAGCAGGTTCACACTGAGCACATGTGACAGACGTGACAGAGTCTGGAGACGCCGTGGAGAACGTTCTGCTGCCTGCAGCATCCTCCAGCATGAGCAGTTTGGCGGTGGGTCAGCAATGGTGTGGGGAGGCATTTCTTTGGAGGGCCGCACAGCCTTCCATGGACGAGCCAGAGGTACCTGGATAAAGATCCCCAGACCCATTGTGAGACCATATGCTGGTGCAGTGGGTCCTGGGTTCCTTGTGATGCATGACAATGCTCGGCCTCATGTGACTGAAGTGTCAGCACATCTGGGACATCATGTCTCGTTCAATCCACCAATGCCATATTGCACGACACACTGTCCAGAAGTTGACTGATGCTTTAATGCAGGTCTAGGAGGAGATCCCTCAGGAGAACATCTGCCACCTCATCAGGAGCATGCCCAGGCGTTGTGTGGGGGGTCATACAGGCACGTGGCACTTGTCTTGAGGAATTTCCACTGAAGGTGGATCAGCCTGTAATGTGACTTTTAATTTTTATTTTGAGTATGATTCCAAATCCAGACTTCCATGGGATAATAATTTTGATTTACATTGATCATTTATATGTTATTTTATTCTCAAAGCATTCACTATGTAATGAATAAAGTTTTTCAACTGGAATATTTTATTCATTGAGATCTAGGATGTGTTATTTTCGTGTTCCCTTTATTTTTTTGAGCAGCGTACAACACACTGATGGCTTAACATCTCAAAGTTGATATTTCATTCAAACACCGTTGACACACAAAGCATTATCTTGAGTTCTTATACAAGTACTCAGTTTTAAAAACTTAGATTTGTACAATTATTTAAATTTAGTCTGGCAGTGATTGACAGAAAATCAAACATTTATCTGACCATTTTAATCACTTTCACAGGTTCCATCTTAAATGTGGTGTTTTTATTGAGCTTTTGATTATTTGGACTGTTGGAACAAATTTTAACCCATCACCACAGGCTCAAAATTGAAGTATAAAATGAACTATTACACTAAAAGAAGTTACTTATCGGTGTTGGATGTCGTCATAATCCTGTTTTCATTTCCAACGACATCCTGCTACTATCTTGTAAGACCATAGACCAGGGGTGTCGAATCCTGGTCCTCGAGGGCCGCAATCCTGCATGTTTTAGATGTTTCCTTCTTCCAACACACCTGATTCAAATGATCAGGATCGTTATCAGGCTTCTGCAGAGCTTGATGATGAGCTGATCATTTGAATCAGGTGTGCTGGAAGAGAGAAACATCTAAAACATGCAGGATTGTGGCCCTTGAGGACCAGAGTTCGACACCCCTGCCATAGACTGTATAAAAGAGTCTCAGAGCTTTGCTAGGGTGCTGCTGTAGACCCCTATATACTTCAGCTGCAACTAAAGCAAATGCCTTCTTCATCTTGGAAGAAAGCATTTACATCCTGACTGCAGACGTGTTTTCTACATGTTGTCTTTCATCTGTCTTGGTGGGTGATGGGGGTTTGGGGTCAGTGAAGGGCAGCAGCGAGGAGAGTTGATCTACTCCTGTGGACTGTGGAGCTGAAACTGGCAAAGCAGCCTGACCGTGGACCAAAGCAGGAAGAGAAGACGCCTGCATTGTGGCACAACGCATACCATCAGCAGCACATTCAAAAATGGAGAGAATGCAGTCATTTATGTTGTAGTTAAAGTTATATTAGCTTTCTCTATATAATATGACATAATCTTGATTTTACATAACCCATTTGCTATACTGAATTCTATGTAGATTCTTGTTTACAACTTGTGGCAAAAACTTTCGTAGTTTGCTTGACACACCTCAGAGCCTTCTTGACCTACCACAGGTGGATATTTATAGTGGCTGGTGTTGCAAGGATCAGGCTTCATGTGAGTCTGCGCGTCTCCATCTCGGCTGTTGACCAAACGTACGCACAGCTCTGTGTTGCCCACCTCAAGTTTGTAGAAAGGCAGTCAGTCAGGCGCGTATTTAACAACCTTGCTTTACTTTCTGCTTTCAAAAAGGCTGTAAAACATATCGATTGCTGCCAGCAGGCATTTGCTCGAAATCTCTCTCGGGGTCTTAATACCTGGGGTGTTGAGTTGAGCTGAGCAATGCTTCCAGAGGGTCTAACAGGCAGACTGCGCACTGGCACCCTCCAGTGGCCACTACGGAGCTGTAAGAGGGGAGAATAATATAATGTCATGACATTCAAACGACATATTTTATAATGGGTCGCTTAGATATGTGTTTAAAGTGTCCACATGAGCACAGTTTGTAATATTTTATATCTAAATGAATACAACTCAGGTAAAGTTACGACTACAACCAGCATGTTTTCGTTGATAAACAGTTGCTTCATCATGTAAATCCTGATATGTCAATAGCTGTACAGATTACATTTAATAGATGAAACACCCTTGACTCATGCAGCATTCAATGTTTTAGTTGGTGTAGAATTCATTTACATATTTCACAGCAGCAACATATAATTGTACCGAACGTCACACTTCTAGACCTGGTTGTATTGATCAAAGAGCTCCAGTCGCGTCCAGCCGCAGGATGCCAGTTTGAAGACTTCATGGTTATAAACATCCAGATCTGTTGCTGCCTGCAGCTCCACCACCAGAGCGAGGCAGGGCGATGGCTGCATCCTGCAGGGGGGGAGAGGTTTTCAATGCACATACACAACTTTTCAGAGAGTAGATGTGCTGTGTTAACTGCAGATGTCTTCTATATTTGTAAAAATGGAGGCTGTTTTTTTATCAAAACCTCCCACTTCTCAAGCAAACAAACCTTACTTCAGTGTTTCTATCCCACTGAAATCATGCTGTTTGCTACACCGTCAGTCAGGTATCATCAGAGGCAAGTGCATTTAGAGATTTTTAGCTCACTCCACTGCTGTTTATATAAATAAAAACAGCCCTTCCTCCCTAAGTTGTGCCCCTACTTCGGTACATGCTGCTTGACTGACAGGAGGACATTGTTTCCAGGGGTGAGGCTGTGCGGGTAAGGACGGGGCACGCCTGGAAGGCACTGGACAGGAGGAAGCGGAGTTGGCGGTCCCACTTCCTGACCTTTCGAGTAAAGAGCAGAGACCAGGCGCAGTGCCTTCTGAGAGGCATCAGCTCCCAACAGCACGTCATAGAAGACCACAAAGCCAGCCCTGCAAAGCCAGAGGACGTCATTTAATCAGGTAAAAGAAAGGTAAGTTGATATGACTGGTGTGCAGATAACTCCAAAATTATGTAAACACCAGAGTAAAGCTCATGGTTTTTTTTTTGCTGCTTTGGTTACTTGAATTTGAGATCCAAATGAGACCAAAGTAGAAACTGGCTATATCTGAAGGTTATGCACAGTATACAACAGTACAATGGATTGTCAAATTACTGCTGTTGTACATAACTTTTAAATATTTTTTTAAAAAAAAAGTTTAAAGGTAATTTATATACGTGGATGTTGTGAGAATTAAACTCACGCAGGATCGTAGGGGGCTGGACCAAGCGAGTCCAGGGAGTCCAAAACATATCCTTCAAGTGGAGATGAGAAGGATCTAGTCTGAAACTGAGGGATACAGAGGAACAGTATCTTAATCAATGTTACAGACATGTGCTGGAAATAATTTTAATTTTCAATAATCAAAGATTGTAAATAAATGCAACTACTAAATTGAATGGAGCTTAAAACTGTCCAAAATGGAAAAACTAGTCTTGACTCATATGTTCTTTTGGAGAGTCTCACAAATATTTTTGACTACAACCGAGAATTCTGTACCAGTGAAAGAGGAGCATGAATGTGGTTCTTAGGTCGGAGTGGGAGTGGAGTTGGAGGAGGCTGTCTCCTGGGTCTGTAAGCTTCTTTCCTTCTCTCCATCTCTGCCTGTATGCTAGAAATCCGGTGGAGGTTCTCCCTCTGAATCAGCCCGAGCTCCGTCTTCACTGCTACTGGAGGACACACAAACACAAGATGACTGACCGGTGTATATATTTTTGTGTACGTCAGTGTTTTGTAAGCAAGTTCCACACATGCAGTCAATCAAAATATGTATCCTAAAATGTAATAATAGCATGGCTCTAGGGATCATCCCCAGCAGACAAATCCTGACTTTGGTGATCCCTTAACTTTGTCTTTTGCCATCATGAAATTGATATTTTTGACTTCTTCTAAACTTTCTTTACAGTTGTTGGATTTATTGCATTAAAATTTGACAATAATGTCATCCAGCATCATTTTTTGGTTAAAATCTATATTCAAAAACCCATGACGGTCCATCAACCAGATAATTAGCATTTGTTAGCATGCTGCTACCACACTGAACCATATTAGTGAATATTGTTAGCATTATGCTTACCAAACATCCAAATGTAACAATACTGATTTTAGCATTTAGTATAGCGTCACATAGTTGCTAGCATGGCTGCCACCAAGACACAGCATCCGGATCTGAAAAGTAAAGCTGACTCAGAAGTGCCCTAAACCTGCATTCTTTCTAACAGCCAGCAGGGGGACACTCCTTAGGATGCAAAAAATAGTCAGATTGTATAGAAGTCCATGAGAAAATGACCCCACTTCTGCCTTGATCTGTTAGCTCATTAAACAGTTTCCCAATGAGTTTATGTTCTCAATTGCTAGAGTCAAGACCTTTAGAATACAACATCATGATAATTTTAAGAATTAGAGTTTCATTTAGAGGTGAACGGATGATAAAGCAGGGTATGTTTTAGGGTGGCAACATTGTGATTGACAGATCACTACTTGCCAGTCATAGTGTCTTTGAGTTCTTAGTCAGATCTGCCCATCACTTGCTATGTGTGGTTTCACAACACCAAGATGGCAACAGTCACAAACTTAAAAAACAGAAAATGTACAAGTCATTTACAAACCACTGGGTGACGTCAACACTATGGGTTTGCTAAACACTGAAAAAATAAAAAAAGAGAAATTAAAATTGTCCAATACTGGCTCATTTTAAACCAGTTAACTATTTAGCACTTCTGGATTTACAACAGCTTTCCATAAATATATTTGTTAGAAACAGGAATAACAAGAGCTATTTGTGTAATGGCAAAACCTTCATAAGCACTGTGTCTCTCTCTGGCCAGCTGGATCCTGAAGATCTCCTCCTCCAGTTTTTGGTTTTCCTGCTCCAAAACCAGCAGCTCCCAACTTGGATGTGAATGTTTTACATCTGGACACGAGGACAACAACAACAACAATGATGATGATGATGATGATGTGACTCAGGGCTAAAAAGGTAAGATATGCTATTTTTCTGCCACAAATCTGCAGCCTGAACCACAAATATCTGAATCGTCATCTTTATTGGCCTTAGACACAACCCTCCCATTCATTGTGTGTGTTTTGCATTCAGTATGTTTTGGGTGTTACAGCTAATCACTGAAGAGACATGTTGGACCAGAATCTAATAACCATGGGCTATGGAGAGGAAATCAGTTTTTAGAGTGGAAAAATCAAGCTGAGTAAACTTAATAAAAGCTTCACTGAGCACAGCTGTGTTGACAGAGGGTTAGACAGTGACAAGCACTGCGTATTTTCTGTTCGTCATCACTCTGACTCTTACTCTTTTTTCTGGCCTTGGAGGGTGCTGCTGGTTGGTTTTTCTCTAAGCTTTGGGCTTCTGCCTGCAGGTCAATCAGCTGTGCCACAGTGGCCGGATCTGACCCACCTGACTGCATGTATGCCTGTCGCAGTGCTCTGCAACAAAGAAACCTGATTTAACCTCACAATCACAACCTGATTATCATGGTGGCAATAAGAAAAATAAGGGGGAAAACAGTCCCTTTAGGTCTAAAAATAACCCTCTTGAGGCACATACTTTATCTGGCTAGAGAGAGGGCCATCCACAGAAAAAAGGAGCTCATAGTTGTCACAGTGCATGTTTTGATTCTTCTGTGGATCTGACTGATCAGCAGGTACAGAGCCCTCTCGCACACTAAAGAGAAAAGGAGAACAAGAACACAGTAGATCGTCTAAATCAGATTATGTTGTGGCATTTATCGAAAGTTTTCCAGCCGGTATCCACCCTGCAAAGACATATTCAATTTATTGTACCACAAACATACTGCAGTAAGGAACTACCCAGGCATAATGAAATACGTAACTGATGCTCTGACTCATCCAGCATCTTGAGAAAAGAAACACGTGGTTGACTGAATATTCCTCTTAATAAAGAAATACTGCAGATGCAGTAATTTCTGTTTAAATCCACTGATAATTCAGCCAACAAATACACATTTAATAATCTTAAGAACTGGGTGACTTTGACAGGGACTAAGTTGTGCTCGGTGACTGAGTCAGAGCTTTGCCACAATGGCAGGTCTTGTGGGGTGTTACCAAATACAGCGTTTTCTACCAAAAGTGGACCAAGGAAGGACAACCTGTGAACCAGCAACAAGGTCATGGCTGCCCAAGGCTTATTGATGTGGGCTGGAGTAAAAACTGGCCTGTGTTGTCTGATAGCACAGGAAAGTAGCACAAATTGCTGAACACCTTAATGCTGAAGAAATTATGAGATTAAACCCAATGGATATGTGAACATCGAAACTGGACCCTGGAGGAATACTATAAAGTGGACTCCTCTAATGAATTACGTTTTTGTTTACTTGGATAAGACCAGGATGCAAAGCTACAGCGCCCTGCACCCTGTCACTGCAAAAACTGTTCAGGAATGGTTGAAGGAATGACCTCCAATTACCCCCAGTCTTAATGCAATCAATTGTCTGTGGGGGATGTGTTGGAAACAAAAGTCCAATCCATTGTGGCCCCACATCACAGCTTATAGGACCTAAAAGGCCTGTTGCTAACATCTTGGTTCTTGATACTAGAGGACACCTTCACAGGTGTGTGGAGTCAATGTCTCAGTGGTTCAGCTGTTTTGGCGGCACAAGCTGGACCTACAGGCAGGTCATTTAAATGTTGCGGCTAATCGCTTTACAAAAATATCACATTCTCAGAGCCTATGTGGAAGTTGATCTAAAAACAGCTTTTAGTTCATTTTATTGCCAACAGAAAAGTGGGATATTCTGTGAAACATAAAGTCAAGAATCCCTGGTTTAGAGTGACGCTTACACAAACGCATACGCTTACTGTAAAGCACAAAGATGTTCGGTAAGTTGTTGCAGCGTCTCCTCATTCCTGTCCTCCTGCTCTCTGAGCTCCATCAGCAGACTCTCCAGGTGAGCCGTGTTGCTTTGCTCAGCCAGGGTGCTCACCTGATGGGCCAACTCTGAAACATACAGTCATATTTCATTCACCTCAGAGGACGTACCATTACATTCATTTCTTGGTGACATGCCCCTAACCGTAAGCCAAATCTAAATCTAAATTCTAATGTTTCACCAAAAGGGAGGCAGGTCTTCACAGTGCGACTATGGTAACAGGCTTACACCGATCAGCCATAACATTAAAACTACTGACAGGTGAAGTGAATAGCATTGATTGTGTTGTTACAGTTCAATGCTGTGATGGGAAACCTTGGGTTCTGGCATTTGAGTGGATGTTGACCACCCATCTAAAAATTCTTGAAGATCAAGCGCATCCCCGCCTAGCAACTGCACTTCCCAATGCCAGTGACCTACTCAAGCAGGACGATACATCCCGCTACACCGCAGCGGTTTGAGGAACACAGCAACAAGCCCAAGGTTTGTTGGCCGAGTCTACAGATTCCAACGCAGAAGATCAAACAAGCAACAGACATCCCAATGCCAGACCCCACAGTCACTCCCAGAGGTCCTGCATCCGTGCCCCGATGGGTATTAGCCACACTGACAGCATGACACAACAACAGGCAAGGGGTTTTAATGTTGTGGCACCTCAGTGTATGAACATGAGAGGCACACAAACACACAACTCTTAAAGCAGCCTCTGTTTTTAAGCATAGATGTTCAGACATAGATTTAAAGAGATGTTCAGCCTACAAGGTCTCATGCAGCTTGTAGCATTTGTTCCTCACCATCTCTCTGCTGCTCCAGCTGCTGGTTATGAGCATGTATCAGGGCCAGTTGGCGCTCATGGACCGATGCCATTTCTCTCATCTCCTTCAGTCGCTCACTGTGTCCCAGCTGACTCCCACTCACCTAAAGAACACATTTATAAACACACAGATTTATGCGCAGAACGTCTTACACTCGAAGCAAACTCTCAAATTTCTTTCATCGCTGTCATTAAACGGCACTCATTTCTTGTACTTAAGTCCCTCAGAGTGACCTGTGACTCACTCTGAAACCACTGGCTGATGACTTAATCCATTATTAAAAAGGCTTTTTCAATATAGAAGAAATGTGAGCACTACTAGCACCATGACACACTTTCAAGCGTAAGTGTGCCAATGGCTGAATAGTATATCAAAAGAAACAAGATGTATAGCATGAGTGATTAAAGAGACTGACGGAGGGAACGTACTGTGGAGCCAACTTTAGAATCATTGGTCGTTTTTGACCACTTTGGCAGGTTTTCTTCAATTGACCTCCTCAGCTTGTGAAACTAAAAGTCAGAAGAGAGAAACAGTGTCATATTATGTTTCAATATTTACACATTAATATTGACTTTACTTATTCACACTTGTGTATTTGCGGACTCCCTTTTAAGCTGCTCTTTCAGCGCGTCTTGACTGACATAATGATATTCAAACATGAATATTTAATCAAAGACCATAAAATGCCTGCAGTGCTCCGCAAAATGACACAATAAAAATGCACTTATATACACAAAATGTTCCCCCGATGCCCTTTTCCCTGGTGGGTTCTTAGGAGTTATCTTTTGAATCTTGTTTTAGATGTTGACAGCTGTGGTTACATAGCAGGGTGGATGAAGGCTGGTTTGTGGTTGGGCTTTACCTCGTCGGCGAGGTTTTGCAGAGCAGCACTGTCTCTCTGGCAGGTCGCTGGTTTGTTTTGTACTCCTGGCGACTTTGGTTCTGCATCAACGTTTCTCCACCTACTCTTGTTCCTTTGCTGACCTCTCCGCTACACACACATGCACACACACACACAAAGATGCACATTCAGTGTCTCCAAAAGCATCTGTTTCTGTCAGTGGCACATAAAATCTCCTTTATTTAAAGTTACATGGTGATATAGAGATCCAGCTTCAGACAGAACTCCCTCCTGTCATCCTTATCTTAGCCAGTGACACAGTAGATAAATATTCAGCTGTCACTGCAGTTTATCAGATACACCCACGCGACTGAATGCAATCCAACACCAGCCCTGTAAAAAAAAAAAAAATCCCATTTTGGAGTGTATACTGTTCAGCTTTTTTAGTAATGCTAGAGAAGCGTTGACTCATATCTTTGATTATTTTTGAGGCCGTAATTAGAGCTGGAGTTGCACAGGAACGCCTTATATTTGGACCTGGGAATTAATGAAATACAAAATTTATGAAGTTTATGTGTGTTTATTTTAATTATAAAAAAAACAGGTATGAATTTTTAAAACAAGTTAAAAAAGAAAGTGAATCATATTCTCTACAGAGGCACTCTAGTGCGCACGCACATAAATTTTTTCTTAGCAACGTGGCCCCCATGACAACAATTCTCTTATTTATGATATGTTAACAGCTTCTTATTTTTAAGTCTTTTAAGTCTATTTTTTTAGACCCTTTAGAATTTTCTTTCTGCATAAATAAGAGACATTATCATATTTTCATACAAGTCTAGATCAAGAAAATTGTACAATATTACACATCTGTGACTGGATAAAGTAGGTTAATCATTGCTTTCAGTATCTGCTGTGACCCCACTTTGCACTAACAACTGCAACTAAACGTTTCTGTTGACTGCTGATCAGCCCTGCAGATTCCTGCACATCAGATTAGAGGAATTTTATTCCATCTGTCTGTACAGAACAGCTCTGGGATGTGGGTTGGTTCTTTACGTCCACAACATTGAATTGGTCATTGCAAGACATTAATTATATTACTCTTTAATCATTCTCTGGTTGAATAACTTGTGTGGTAAGGGTCCTAATGGATGGCCCTCTTTCTTCTGAGATTTAGTTTACAAACAGATGCCTGCCATTTTCCTGTAGAAGTTGCTGGCATAATTCAAAAGTCATTGTTAGATCAATGCTGGTGAACCGTCCTGGCCCAATGCATCATAACAGTTTGAAGCCATGATACTACCACCACCATGCTTCACAAATGGAATGAGTTTTTTTGTTTGTTTTTTTTTTTCAGCATTTTTCTCTAAAAATAATGCATCTCATTTACTTTATTCTTATCTCTCCATAAACATTTTCCAGTAGCCTTCCAGCTTGGGGATTTTTATGATCATGATTTTTCTGAGGTCCTCTGGAATCTCCTTTATCTGTGCCATGATCGGCTTCCACATACATCCATCATCTATACGGCGCTTAATCCTCACTAGGGTCACGGGGGGGCTGGAGCCTATCCCAGCCGACTTAGGGTGAAGGCAGGGGACACCCTGGACAGGTCACCAGTCTATCACAGGGCCACACTTAGACACAGACAACCAAGCACACTCAAATTCGCACCTATAGACAATTTAGAATCACCATGGGAGGAAGCCGGAGAACCCGGAGAGAACCCACGCTGCACGGGGAGAACGTGCAAACTCCACGCAGAAAGATTCCGGTGCCCCCACCGGGACGCAAACCGGCGACCTTCTTGCTGCGAGGCAACAGTGCTACCAACTGCAGCCCTTCCACATACATGTGTTGTGAAAATCAGAAAACACCTGAATCAAGCTTCACCTTCAAATTAACTGCACACCCTGCAGTTTCACATACTTTTGTCACTCAGATATGTGATGTTGGATCATTACTTCAATAAATGAATAACCAACCATAATATGGTTGTCTCAGCTGTTTAACTGGGTTCTCTTTATCTGCTTTAAGGACTTATTTATACAGAAATTTCCAAAAATGTAATGGCTTCATACAGTTTCAAGCACGAATGAATCCAATATTTCAAATTCTGTTTATATAGTTATAATCAGACTCTAAATTGTTTTGTCAGGTTGGTCGCTTACTAATAACCTTTCACCCTGCTGACTGACTCACCTGCACCAGATCGGCGGTTCTTGTCTGTTTCGGGTCCACGCCTCCAGCTTTGTTCCTCCTCAGAGGTTCAGAGCTGTGTGTTTGTACCCAAAGGTGCCCTGCCTCACTCCCAATGCAGAACAGCGCTTTGTGTTTCTCGAGTAGCCTGGCGGAGCGAAACAGCATGTTACAGTCTCTGCAGATCAACTCCTTCTCCATCTGGTATCAAAGCTGGTAATTCTAGATGAACAGCTTGCTCATAAACTGAAATACTGGTGAAATTACACTTAAGGGTAGTACACAAAATAGAATTAGGTCCCAAGAAAAAAAAAGAAAAACACAAAGTCCCCTCTTATTATTATTCTAAATTAAACAGCAGCTCATTTTAAGGTTGTAAAACTACTGAACAACTGAGCTGCTTGTTTGTGTGTGTGTTGGCAACTGTCACCATGCCAGTGATTTGGTTGTGAGGGTGTGGTGAGCTCCTCTCGAAACACCAGCCTTTATCCCTCCCTCTTTTATAAATCCAGTAATTTTATATTGTAGATGACTGTGTCAGAGTGCTAATATTTCAGCCTGATGGCGTTTTGCAGCTTATTTCCCTCTAAAGCAGGAGGTCAAGCTCTGTGATCTAAGCAGACTGCTACTTGTTTTTCTGCACTTTCCACTTTATCCACATTGAGCTAACAGTATGCTTTTATTCTGTTCATTTGAATATTCATAACGTGAGGTTTTTTTTTTTTTAATTCTCAGTCTGTCTGATGTTTTCTCACCCTTGAGTGAGCCCTGTGAGAGGACGACTGCAACTGGATGTCTGGCTCCGAAGCATCAACGGAGAAGGCCTGAACCTCAGTGAATCGAATCACTCTGACAAACTGTGTGCAAGGTACGGACAATTATCTGACCCTAATGCCAATCAAACTTACCAGATCATTTACAACACTGACTAGATTTAAATGTTTACAAGTATCCTTTCACTCTACATCTGTCCACTTCTTCTGACTAAGTTTACTGTAGTTTAATGTACTGCTTTCAAATAACAACAGAGGTAGGTAATGGAAAGTCTGGTTTTTAGTACACGACTCTGCAAGGACAGTTCCTATCAGGTCAGGTCCTTAGAGAGGAGCTTTGTACATCGAACTTCTTCATAGAAACACTTCTTAAGTGTGTTCAGCTCTAGAGAACAAACTTGTGTCTGCCTCAGGCCAGTCATATCCTCGCTGCACACTCATTTTTAGCTGTTTCGACTTTAGCCAAGCTCAGTTTAATTTGAAATGTAGTTATATACAGCATGTATATACAGTGTTTTATGTACGTGCCACTGTATACTTCTACTGCTCTACAGTTTTGTGACAGATTTAGCCTCTAGTTATTTTAAAAATTAAACATTTTTGCTAACAAAACATTAAAAGTGCCCTATGTCATATATTTCTTTGTGATAAATCAAAATACTTTACAGTTATAATTTTGAGCAGCTCTGTCAAACATTTAAATGAGACATGATGTACAAAAAATGTCTGAGTTTCTACAAGCAGAACTGAAAAAGTTAGTTAGTATATTGATTTATTAGTTGATTGACAAAAAAAAGAATTGTTAAATACTTTTAAGTTCATTTCTAACATAAAAATACCCCAGATCTAACAACTGCAGCTTTGTAAAAGTGAGAATGTTCTGTCTTTACTTTGAATTGTTTTAGTACTTTTCATTTATTGTACCCATGAAGTTTAGACTTGCAGTAGTAAAAATCAGTCATGTCCTTTTAACAGTTCAAACTACATGTGCACATCCAGATTCTTTACATTATATATTTAAGAAGATCTAAATGTGTGATTCATTAACTAGTGTGACAAAAAAGCATTTTAAACACTACACTTTTCTCTTTCTTCTTCTTATTCTTTTTTCTGTTGTGATTGTCAGTGAAGTTGGTGCCCCCTGCTGGTAGTTGTGTGAACAATGAGCTTTACTGATACACTGGGGGTTGAGGCAACTCCAACACTGCAGTAGAAAGCTGATTTTTGTCTGCAGTAAATACTCTGTTTCCAGTGTTCTCACATGTGCATCCTATAAATCTCTCCAGAACTAAACCTGCAGAGGTGTGCTTGCCATTACTGAGTCAGGTCTGTCAAATATAAGTGCAGCAGGCACCCCAACAGGAGCTGGGTAGGATTGAGGATAAAGTTTGAGTATATTGACCTCATAGATGGACAGTAGATGAGTGGGTGTTGTTGCAGAAGTGGTTCGAGAAGTTTCTGTAGACATTTGATGCTTTTTTTCTGCAATTGCTGTCAATCCAACTTCCGACAACAGATTTTTGATTGGTTCGGCACATTCAGCTGTGCTCCTGGCAGCATTTAGTCTTAAAGTCTCAGACTCTTGCATCCTGGCTGTAACTTGAAGATTCCATGCATCTCAAACACTTCAACTTCCACAAAGGAGTCAGGTACTGCTTTGAATGAATGCTGACTCATCTCCATTTATTTGTGTGTAACATGAAATAAATAGCCACTATCTCTTTAGTAAATGACCCAAACTGCGACTTGGAGTGCTGTTTGTGTTTCTGAAACGTGTTCAGATTTATCTTCTATATGTTTTTAAATATTGTCAATGAATTGTCTGACTTCTGGCTTAGTAACTGTGTTGTTTTAAGTAACACTTACAATCATTAATATTGACAACCGGGACAGCAGTTGTCATTTACAACTCTTTCAATTCAACTCAATTCAGTTAAAAAATAAAAAAAAAGAATTTACATGAGGTATAATTTAAGGTGCAGGTGGATTGAACATAAATAAGTAATTTAATTTAATCATCAAACTCTTAGAACAGAGTCAACATTTTATAAGCAATATAGATAACCTGTTCAGCCCTGAGCTATTTTTCAGGCCTCTGCTCGAAAATGACATACCCATAATAACAGCAGTTTATCTCTGCAACCACAAGGTCTATTTGAATAATTATTGTGTCACAATAAAAGGAACACTTGTAAGATTTGTTCAAATGTATAAATATCAGTATATATGTTACTGGTTAAGAGTAAATGAAGATGGCACACCGCACACATAAAAAAATTCACGCTTGCCTAAAAAAAAAAAAATAAAAGCACTTTCAGGATAATGATCTCTTTGTAATAATCCAGCTGCAGCTCTAAACCTCTCCCAAATCATAGCACAATATATGAACATTCTCTCTGCAAAGGTTGACTCTGATAAAGTGAAGCAGAACAAAATTACCAAGTTTTTAGTCCAGACAGTTCAGGCGAGGTCACATTCTGGCACACTTTGGCACGCATTTGTCCACTTGTGACCATCTGAATTTTCTTATGTACCAACTATATATTTCACGTGTCTATCACTAATGGTGTTCAATACAGCAGTTTTTTTTAGTTTTTTGAAAATTCAACCAGAGCACTGTATATGTATGCGTCCTGTGCCTAATGCTGATCAAACTGCTGTGAAGCTCCTGTGATGACGCAAGGCTGTATCTCCTTAATGGATTGGTCGATTTCAGTGATTGACACCTTCTTCAACTCGCTAGAGCCAATAGAATATAGTGATAGCCACCAAAATGAGATTGACAGCACTATTAGCCAATCAGACTCAGCAGAACGACATCTTGTCGACGAGCTGCTTGCTGAGTGTTCACTCCGTGGTTCCCTTAGGCTAAGAAGCCTCCAAACAACACCCGGAATGATTTCAGTGTAACACAGGAAGTAGTACTAACTGATTCCAGTGTGGATTTACCAATAAAATAAACTTTTCATGGCAAACAGCTAAGGTAAGAGAAATTTTACAGCTATAGTTTGATGAAGTGATTTTGGTTTTTGCTGTTCTGTGGGTTATTTCTTGCCAATGCTTTGATTTCAGAGAGCTTTGATGGACATGTTTGGAATCTGTGGACTGTCTACTTTCATTTAATGGGTTGTTTGTGCGTTTTGCATAAAGTACCAAAGCGCTAGAGCCAGAAATGTGGCGAGTGAGTTGACTGGGTGGCGCTATATCGATTTCCATATTTGAGAATTCATTTATTTGGTGTTTGAGTTGTGTTTGGGGCATGTAAAAATGGTTTATATATTCCAGGTTCTGCTGTTTAATTTGATGTGCAACATCACTATATTCCTTCATGATGAGTGCATTATTTCACACTATTTCTTTCTGTAAAGCCCGAGGGCTTAAGGGGTTAAGCAGTGATTCTTTTATGCCAAGAAAGAAACTGAAAGAGTGAAGAATTCAGAATTTCCTTACCAGAATGTTATTACGGCAATATTCAGACCTTCAATATGAGAATCTAAATATAAAACGAGGGGAAGTATGAAGAAATGTTCTTTTTGGCATCTGCATTGGTTGTGTATTGTTTGGACAGCTGAGGACTCATGACCTCTGTTTTTCTAAAATACTGGCAGCAGCCCTGATGACAACGTCAGAAAGAACCTTCTTCCCTCAGGCCTTCAGGATGGTGAACTCTGCCATCTGACCTCTGCTGCAGCCTTGTCACTGTGTCCTTTGTGAATCCTTTGCACCACTCTGTGTGTTTGCACTTGAATGTGCAGAAAATCTTCAGATTTTGTATAGCTTGCTTATACTGGTGACATATTTACATTTTGCACTTTTTAATAAACTAATATTTTATGTACATTTGCCTTTTTCACAGGCCTGCATTTCACTGCACATACGGAATATAAGCAGCTACACAAATTAAAGCTCTGAAATGTCTGTGCTTTTCATAGACGTAACAACAAATCACTCTCTTGTTTTTGAGGCTAAAAAGTTTGACATTGTGAACTACCGTGACTCATTATATTATTTTATGATTTAGCTTTATGCTCAATCACCCCTTTAAAGTGAAGTTGTCTCAGTATTAAGTTGGTACCAGCCCTCTCCTCCACCACTACAATGAAGTGTCCAGAGCTGCACTTACAGTAAGACTCTAAGCTGCTCTGAAGCAACAACAGCCTCCATCATACAGGGACATACTGATGCTGCTGCTGAGAACTGAAATATTCAACATCCATCCACACCTCTGACAGAGAGAGAAAGAGAGAGTTGAGGACTTGAACTCTCTCTTTCTCTCTCCCACATCCCTCCTCCTGCTCTGCAACACATACTCACACATGCCAGGCTGTTGCTAAGCAACTGTAAAATAAAGCAGTAGGCTCTGAAGTCAGAGAGAGAAAGAGAGAGAGAGAGACCGAGAGGAGAGAAAGAGAGTTCGCAAGTACTGCA